CCTGGACAAAAACCAAATACGCATTCCTTCATATAAATCACAGTATCACAGAGTCATGGGGGAAAATGTCTGATATGAGACCTGAAAAATGCATAGGAAGTAGCTGACTAAAGAGGGGAGAAACAGTGTTCCAAGCCAAGAAAACAGTGTTTATGAAGGCCAAGAAGGAAGAGGAAAGCATGACACATGTTTATTTGGAAGAAATGGAAAAAAAAAAAAAATTCATTAGATGGCTGGAGAGGGGGCCAGGTAGAGAAGGGCCAGGCAATGGCTTAGGCCTCTCCCCACCACTACATTTAGGCTTTGTTACACAGAAAAAGAAGGCCTGGCCACCCTGCTTGTCTCCAGCACAACCATAAGGAAGGAAGATTAGACTCATCTTGACTAGGGTTTGCAGGTTTAACCAAATTCTACTTTAAGGAGAATTGATTCAATAAGCAACTGCTTGATTTGGTTGCATTTCAGGGCAAGGTTCCTTTCACTTGGAGACAAATAACTAATCAAACTAAGCAGTCCACCTTTCAAACATTTGTTTTGCTCTTACATGCACTAAATACTTTGGAGCTCTTAAGTGAAAATACCTGATATAAACAGCTTCTAAAATCACCATTTCTGGGATACTTATCATTATTACAGACAGGTTGGCATATGGAAAGACTTTTTTCCATCATCGAGTACCCAACAATGATGGTGACATTAACCAGATTTACATCTCTATGGTTAACATTTTCTGTGTTTCAAAATGTCCCTAATATTTCTTCCTTACTTCAGCTGCTTGGAACTCAGGTCCCTTGTACAGACACATCTATCCCTGCACAGATACATCTATCATTCTCAAAGAGTGTCCCATGTCCGTTAGCTCCTTGTTAGGTGAATATATGCTACACAATAAAAGGTTTTAATATTCAGATAAGTTTGAGAATTGCTGGGTTAACCCAAGATAAACATATTTTTTTTTTACAGTCTGTATCCCCAACACTCAGAACAGGACCTTGTACAAAGTGGGCACCAAATAAGTACTTGTTGAATTAGTGAATGTAGAATTCCATAAAGCCATATATTCACATGCTCTGTGACATATAAGAAGGGAACTGAGTGTGCAGCATTCCATGGGGCTTCCCTTAGGACTAGCATTGAAAAATCTTGCCCTAATCTTTAAATCTAGAAACACACTAATCATGAAAAAGAAGACAAATTTCCAGAAATCAAAATGAAGAGACAAAGGAAAGGGAGGGAAGTTACCTAATCCCCAGAATTACCTTCATGTTCTTGGCCCCTGCCATTCACTCAAGAGCAGTCTTCTAACAGACTGCTCTTCCCTCAGCAGGGACAATTTGGGTGATCAGGGTAACGATGTATCTGCCAGACATTTTGCCTCCAGATGCTCATTTCCCAGGTGTCCAGTTTGGCTCAAAAAAGTTGCCATGGGCAAGCCTCACGGGTCCCCTCCCTCTTTGGGAGCTTTGTACTATCACTCAAACTATCGCTCAATAAACTTTGCTTTGCTGCCCACCAAAAAAAACCCAAAATGGTTGCCAGGTCCTGCCTTGAACTCAGAAATTAAATAGATCCTAGATACCAGATATCGGTGAGGAATATTTATAAGAGTTCTAAGAAGCTTTATGATGCAGAAGTAATGTGTTATGGAACCAGAAACCCATGGGAAATTGGAATCCCCGCCTTCCCTAGTCCCAGCCCCATAAGACCAGCATTCTCAGTCTCATCTAAGACCTGAGCAAGTATCATCAAGGTAGTCCAGTGGTTCTCAAACTCTAGCATACATCAGAATCACCAAAGGGCCTGTTAAAATACGGATTGCTGGAACTTACCTCCAGAGTTTCTGATTCAGTAGAATTTACATTTCTGTGAAATTCTCAGGTGATGCCAATGGTGCTGGTTCCTGGTTGCTTCCTCACCACTACATGTGCTATCAGTTGGTTTTTACAGCCACAAGTCTGGTATAGACCCATAGGTCCAGCCATGTAGTAGCACTTGGTTCTAATAACTGGTACATAATAGGCACTCAGTAAATAATTTGATTAAATTAATACATAATTGTTTGTCTAATCCCTAAGATTGGGATCTACTTTGGGAAAGTGTACCCCACCTCCCCTGATGAAACTGGAGCCCAGTCCTTTATCCCCACTTGCTCAACTGGGATCACGACCCTCTCTGCCTACCTCCAGACCTTACAGGGACCATGCGCCCAAAAGAAAGACCTTTTGACTAGTGACAAGGGATCTGACAGAGTCCAAGTGAGAAAGGCCCTTTTTGGACCATGGGATTTAGACTCCTGGCCTGCCTGGTAAAAGCCAACTCCATCATGATCCAGTCTGTCCCAACCATTCCTGGGTTGATTCCTCTCCTTGCCAGGCCACTTCTGAGCTCCCCAGCCAGATGCTGGCTGAAGATTCACGCTATTTTGGGACATAAGGCAGGTATCTGAACCAGGTTCCAATGATGACTTCGAAATAGAGACTTGACTAGAGATCTTGAATGCTTTCCCCATCAGCCAGAATAAATAGTGGTTTACTTTATTATTTTCTTTTGTACTATTTTAACCATGTTGTGAGTGCACAGACAGCAATGCTAATTTCATTCTTCCCTGCCTGTAACTCACATATGTGAAGTGTGTAGAAAAGAAAATCATACTATGCCCCAGGAAGAGCAATATATTTGGGCTTTGATAGATGATGGGAAAAGTAAATTCCAAGAATAAAGATTTTTCCAAGAAATTCAGAAACAAAAATTAAAATCTATTGTTCATCAATATCCCAACATTTTAATATTCTCCACAATCCCACATCACTGAGGAAGTGCAGGTAACTGCCTATGTATAGACACCTGATAGAAGAATGACCCATCTGTGCTAAACCACAGCCTTCCCACTCCTTTTCTGATGCAGCTTCTACCACTGTTTCCCTTGGAAACCAAAGAAGCAGCTGCCTGCAAAAAACATCTCTCTCCCTCCTCACTCATCAGTCCAAAGGACTAGCAGCTTGTTTTCTTGCTTACTGAAAACATCTGATGTTGGAGGATGGCATGCATGTGGGGGACAATATAAAAGATATTACCACAGTGGGTCAGACATATTGTATATTCTTTTTTTTTTT